TGCAGCTAGATCAGGAACCAAATTAGCAACAGCTGAACTTTGGAGTCAGACAAGGACTTTGTCTACCTCAGCCATAAACTCTAACTGGGCCTTGTGAGATTGGAGTCTCTCACTCGGCAAAGTACTTTTGTAAGCCATCCAAAGTGTATGAATAGTTCACTCATTTCTATTGCTGAGTAATATTCCACTGTATGGATGTACCACAATTTGTGTATCCATCCATCTGCTAAAGAACACTTGAGTGGTCTCCAATTTTTGGTGATTACAAAGAGAACTGCTATACATATTCATAGGTTTGTGTGTAAGCATAAAGTTTCATTTTGCTAGGACAAATACCTGAGACTGGCATCAAGGAGTTCCATGGTAAGTGTATGTTTAACTTTATATAATAAGAAACTGCCAAATAATCTTTCAACATGGCCATGCCATTTTGTGTTCCCACCAATAGTGAATGAGAGTTCTTATTTTGCATCCTTGCTACACATTGTACTGACAGTATATATTTTCATCATCATCCTCATCCCACTATTTTAGCCATTCTAACTGGTGTATAATGGTATCTCATCATGGTTTCAATTTGCTTTTCCCTAATTTCTAATGATATTGAATATCTTTTCATCTTTATATCGCCTTCATTAAGCTGTTTTTTAGCTCATGTTTTTTAGTGGGGTTATTTCTTTTAATACTAATGAGTCTGAAAGTTTTTTTTCACCCAGGATACAAATCCTTTATCAGAAATGTGACTTGCAAGTATTTTCTTCTAGTTAGTAGTTTATCTTTTCATTCTGTGATGTCTTTTACAGAAAAAAAGTTTTTAAAATTTTTTATGAAGTCCACTTTGTCATTTTTGTTATTTTATGAGTCATGTTTTTAGCATCATGGCTAACTCCAGATCATGAAAAATTTTTCTAAAATTTTATACCTTTACCTAAGACCCCTTTTAAGTTAACTCCTGAGTAAAACGTAAATTTTATTTGCATGTTACTATCCAATCATTCCAACATCATCTGTTAAAAGATATCCTGTTTCTATTTCATTACTTTTGCACTTTAGTCAAAACTCGATGGGTATATTGTGTGGACCTATCTCTGGACTCTGTATTCTGCTCCACTGGTTAATGGGGTATATTCGCTCCTTTATCAATATCATACTGCTTGATTACTGAGCTCTATACAGTAATAACCAAGATTAAGTGCTATGATTCCTCCAATTTTATTCCTTTTTTTTCCAGAATTATTTATTTAATTTAATTTATTTATTTATTTTGCTATAGGGCATGTGTACTCACCAGAGAAAGAGAGAGCTAGAGAGAAAGAGAAAGGAAGCTTCCAGGTCCAGAACTTGAACCACAATCGGCCATCTGGGAGTCAGCCCCTTAATCACCATACCACCTACCGGCCCCTCAACATTATTCTTTGTCTTAAAAACTATTTTGGTTATTTTAGTTAATTTGTCATTCCATACAAATTTTAGAATCAACTCAATCATAACAACCAGAAAATTCTGCTGGGATTTTTACTAGAATTTCATGAATTCTATAAATCAATGAATAAGAATTGGCATCTTTGGGGCTGGATGGGTAGGTAGTATAATAGTAGCACAGCATTCTGCAAGGCTTACCTACATGGGAGGGGTTCTGGGACCTCCCTGAATATATATGCCAGGCGTGCATGTACCCATGATCCGGGCTGAGGCTAGGGATAGATCATGGTGTCAAGACCCAGTTGGGGTGCCTGTTTATCCATCTGTCTCTCTCTGGATCTCTCATTCTTGGAAAAAAATTAAACTTTTAAAAAATTGACATCTTCAATCTGGTCACATGGCTTAGAGGTTAAGGAAGCCAGATCCCGCATGCCAACTGTGGTTTGGGTTCTAGTCTCAGTGGACTGAAAAATATACCAGGATAGACCAGCAGCTGGTGTAGTGTTTAATGTGCCGGACTCCCACATGGCCAAGTGTGGTTTGAGTCCCAGACCTGGCAGCTTGAAAATCATGACAGACATATGCCTCCCCAAATCCCAGGAGGAGAATGAAGGAGAAGGGATTGTGATGTGGCCATCCCCTCAGGGGTTGATTTCTCACTTTGCCTCTCACTGTCTCTATCCAACAATTGCACATGCCCTATGGCAAAGATCTTAAAGAGAGAGAGAGAGAGATTTTTTTTTAAAAAAATGCCAGGCAGAAGTGTGTGCATGCCCAACATCCTACCAGGATAGAGAAATGGAGGATAAGGGACTGTAGTGTGACTCCATCCCATTGTGGGATGCTTTTTCTCTCTCTCCTCTGTCTCTCTGTCATTCTGTCTCTCTAGTGAGTATATATACCCTCTGGTATTTAAAAAAATAAAAAATAAAATTGGCATCTTCACTATGCTGATTCTTTTGATTCATGAAGAAGGTATATCTCTCCATTTATTTAGGAATTCATTTATTTCTTTTAGTGTTCTAATTTTCAGCACATCAATTCTAAACATGTGATGTTAAATTTGTACCTGAATATTTCATCTGTTTTTGGAGATATTAATATAAACTTATTTTAGAAGTTTGGCTTCTAATGGTTTATTGTTAATATATAGAAATGCAATTGGTTTTTTGTGTGTTGACTTTGTATCTTGCAACCTAACTAAATTCACTTATTAGTTCTAGGGATATTTTTGGTAGATTCTTGTGGATTTTCTATATGGACAATCATGTTTTCTGTGAACAGGGACAGTTTTATTTTTCTTCTATATGCTTTTATTTATATTTATTTTATTGCACTAGTTAGATCTTCTCATATAGTGTTGAAAAGGAATGGTGATGGTGGACATTCTTGTTTTGTTCCATAACTCAGAAGGAAAGCATCCAGTCTTTTACCATTAAATATAGGGTTATCGGAAAAATCATGACATATTTTTCTATGCAAAAAATAAATCGTGACTTTTCTGACTACCCAATGTATTGTAGGTTTTTGGTAGATGTCCTTAATTAGGTCAAGGAAATTCCCTTCTAAGTGTGTAAAGAACTTTAATTATGAACGGATAATGTATTTTGTCAAATGCCTTTTCTGTTTAGGTTATTGGCATTGTGGAGTATATTTTTATTTATTTTTTTAAGAGAGATTTTTGTTATAGGCTGCATGTGCTGACTGGAGAGACAGAGAGACAAAAAGCGAGAAATCACCCCCCAGGTGGGATGGTCATGCTGCAATCCCTTCTCCTCCATTCTCCTCTTGGGATTTTGGGCATGCACACACGCACCTAGTGTGATTTTTAAGCTGCCGAGTCCCGGACCTGAACTGTCATCAACTATGTGGGAATTCAGCGACGTAACCATTACATTATCTGCTGGTCCCAACATAGTGGGGTATATTAATCCATTTTTTTTAAATTGCTGAATGATCCTTGCATTCCCAGAATAAAACTCAGTGTGGTGCATTATTCTTTTTATACATTGCAGGACTTGATTTGCAAATATTTTGCTGAAGATTTCTGCATATATTAATGTACTCATAAAGGATGTTTGTAGTTTTCTTGTTCTGTTTTTGTCTGGTTTTGGTATTGGGATAATGCTAACCTCACAAAGTAAGTTGGAAAATGTCCCTCCTCTTTTTTTGTTTCTAAAGATTAATCTATGTTATTTCTTCTTTGTGTTTGGTAGAATTCACCCATGTCAATTTCATTTTAAGCACTTCTTCATCTGGATTCCACAAAGTTCAATATGTTTTATTACTATCTTTTTCTTTCTGTGCAAATATTTTCTAATTTCCTTTGAGACGTCCTCTTTGAACTGAACCATGAATTATTTAGAAGTTTATTTTTAAATTTTCATATTTTCCCAGGGGCTCTACTCACATGATTTTAACTTCTACCTAAATACTGACAAATCCCACCCACACCTCTTTACTGAGGTGTACAACTGTCTACTGGGTATCTTTTAGTGCATGTCCCACAGGTATATCCAATTCAACATGTCCAACAACACTCACTATCTCCCTGCTCTTCCCCTCCACCAATTTTAGTAGGTGCTCAACCATCCACTCAGTTGTCCAAGTGAAAATCTGGAAGCCACCTTGGTCTTCTTGCCTTGGGGCCATCTGTGACTATGTACTGTTTGTTCTACCTCTTTATTATTGTGAGTGCCTGAGCCCTTCTCACCACCCATACTACCACTACCCCCAGTAATAATTGTGTCATAGGATTATTGTAATTCCTACATTATACTTGAAGCCTGGTATTGTGCTTAGCAGGTAATAGGTGATTATTTAAATTTTTTTGAACAAAAAAATTTTTAAAAAGTAATATCAGGGAACCAGCAGTTAGCCTAATGGCTATGTCGCTGGACTCCCACGTAGTCGACCGTGGTTCGTGTCCCGGACCCGGTGGCTTAAAATTCACGCCGGGCGCGTGTGCGTGCGTGCCCAAGATCCCGAGAGGAGAATGGAGGAGAAGGGATTGCGGCGTGACCATCCCCCCTGGGGGGTGATTTCTCGCTTTCTGTCTCTACGTCTCTCTCTGTCTGTCTGGCGAGCGCATGCGCCCTACAGTGAAAATCTCTCTCAAAAAAAAAAAAAAAGTAATATCAAACAAATATTTTTCCTTAACTTAAAAACACAGCTTCCAGGCTGTATATAGCAAGTGGCATGGTGGTTAAGGCACTGGACTTTCACATGGCCAACCAAGGTTCAAGTCCTGGACCTGACAGCTTGAAAATCACACAGGGTGCCTGTGCATGCAGGCCCAAAATCTCAGGAGGAGAATGGAGGAGAAGGGATTATGGCCCAGCCATCCCCCCAGGGGATGAGTTCTCACTTTCTCTCTCACTGTCTCTCTCTAGTGAGCACACATGGCCTTTAGAAAAAAAGTGAGAAAAAAAGAAAAATATATATGTAGCTTCCAAATAAAATGTTGAGCTATTCATTACACATTTTACAAACAACAATGAAGTCAACAGAATGAAGTCAATTTTTAAATACAGAAATGTTCATTTCAAAAGCTTGACTGTACCTCTTCAGTAACTTACAAGTGGGGATTCTTGCTGATTTTCACGTTCAAGGTGACCAGAAGTTCCTCTCCATATCTGTGATGTTCATTCGTCACTGTGAAATACTGAGCTAAAACCTTTTTCCTTAGCTTTTGGTTGCTATTAGGTTGCCCAGGGCCTGTTTCAGAAGTGCTTTACTATTCAATAGTTTCTTTGGAGTTGAATTTACCTTTTGCCTGAGCCTCTTGGTTTTCTGCCATCAGAATGTCCTGGGAACTTCATCTTTTTCTTCTTCGAATCTGTTTCAGCTTCCTATGCTTGCGCTTTCTTTTTCCTGCAGCTGTTTCTGTCTCTTCCTTGGCAGCGTCTGCTCCAGGGCCCCCACCTCCATCTGCTGCCTCCTCCATTGCACGTTAAAAAAACTTCCTGCTCTTCACTCTGCCGAATCGTTGGCCTCAGAGGCTTCCAGCCTGCCAACTTCCAACTCAGCTTCCTGTCCTTTTGAGCACTTCTTGGGCTTCTGACTCCTTGAATTTTCTCGGTAGCTTTATATTTTTAGTTCTTTCCCCCCCCCCTCTCTTTTGGTATTCTTCTTTCCTCTGTCTTTAACTCCTCTGCTTGCTCTTCTGTGGCGTCATTTGCCTTGGAGACAAAACCTTGGCACATATGTCTGTGTGTGGATCTGTCACTTGGGGGAGCGGTTGTTGATCTTGTCCTTTCCTGACTGGCTCCTGAACCCATGCCTGCTGTTTAACATCGCCTTTGTGGGTTTCACATTCATACCCTTTGCCATGGTCCTTCTGAGCTTCACTTACACTTTCACATGGTTTTATAGTTACCACCCCAGAGATCTTCACCACAGTCAATGCAAGAAAGACATTCACAGTTCCTGCAAATAGATGCATGCTTTTCCACTTGTATTTTCTTCACTGATTCACCACATGCATTGCATATAAAATAAAATAACATTTTCAGCTAAATGATTAAATAGTCTCCATCTAAGTACAGGCTTCAAGTCTTGTTCTCTCGGTTAGTGCTCACCAGTGGTTTCAACCAGCCACAGGGAGCACATGCCCTCCTAAAATTCCCAGCGCAGAATTCACTTCTCACGAGTTGATTTTTAAACAGCAGTTACTCCTACGATTGTGCTTGGGCACTCAGTTTTCCTCTGTGGGTGAAATTAAGATTCTTCTAGCTGGTTTCCTGCTTCCATTCTTACTCTATCCCCCCCCCTCCTCCACATTTCCACCAAAGCCATCTCTCAAAGCCTCAAATCTGATCACATACTCTCCGAACAAAAACTTTTCATAGTTTTGCAAAATCTATTAATAATATTATTCACCATAAACTAGGTCAAAGGAGAAAAACTATATAATTATCACAAAAAATTACCAAAAAAGGCAATTGAGAAAATTCAATAACCATTCCTTCTTTTAACAGTTGGAAAAATAGGAATAGATGAATGCTATTCTTGATATAATAAATATATCATGCTTACTGGTAAAATTCTAGAAGCCTAGCTACTAAGGACACAATCAAATTAAGAATACCCACCATCATCATGATAATTTAACATTGTTACATTGTTCAGAAGGTACTAACCAATACAATTACATAAAAGAGAAGTATAAGAGGCTTAGATGTTGGGAAAAAAGGACACAAAATTACTTAGTATTGTCTGAACTTCATCTTAGAGAAACCCCTCAGAGGTTTTTGGCACGTGATTGACATCATTTTTCTGATTTTGAGCCTTGATTCTTTTTTTCCAATTTTAATCTTTTAGTCATTTTAGTGGCAATTTGAAAGAAAAAGACATTAAATCTAGGGTCTCAGCTGACCATGAGTTACTTTTTTAATTAGAAAACAAACTCATTTAAATCTGAGAGAAATAAACCATTGTGTAATAGAAGGCCAGTCTTGTATCCATTATTCTTTTCTTGTTTGTTTTTTGTTTTTTGTTTTTTGGCTTTTTTTTAGCTATAGAACGCATGAGCTTGCTGGAAAGACAGAGACAGAGAGCAAGAAATGACCCCTCAGGGTAGATGGCCACACCACAATCCTTTCTTCTCCATTCTCTTCTCAGATCTTGGGCATGCATACACACGTGCCTGGTGTGAATTTTAAGACATCAGGTCCAGGATTCGAACTGCAGTCAATTATGTAGGAGTCCAGTGATGTAACCATTATGCCATCTGCTGGTCCCATATCCATTATTCTTAACAAATGAAATTGTACACAACTCATATGCCCCAGGTTTGGTCCCTCAGACTCTTCCAAGTTCTGAATTTGTGTGTCACTGCCCAAATCATGCAACTTTTGTGCTCAGTAAATGGGTTCTCCTTAAAACCAGAAACTTGGAAATCTGAATGGTTCTGTAATCCACTGAAACCAGTTTAGTGTCAACTATTTTCTACAGAGGTTTCCTGGTCATTCAGGGTCCTGTAGTTCCAGAGCTGATCTCTGGAACCATACAACTGCACAACCACAACCCCTCAAGTCCAGGGACCACTCCTCTCCACAAGGAGGATCTGGGTTAATACCCCTTGGAGGTCTCACAACCCCAGTCTCTTCATACCTGGCACTCCTCTGTGACAAAGGCAATGTCACCGCTGGGTGTCTCTAGGGATGCAATGCTTGTCTGCAGGGTAGAGCATGCAGAGCTTGATGCAGATAGAGGAGGAATCCTTCAGATAAGCTTGGAAAAACAAGAGCAAATCTTCCCCCCCAGTGAACATCTGTCCCCTTCAGGCTGGCCCTGAGGGTCTTTCCTGATGCCTTAGGACAGATGGTTTGGGAATAATAGCATCCAATAAGTGAGCTTTATCTCTTGTTTGGAGACCACCTCATGCCTTAGGATGATAGAAAACAAGAAAAACAGACGAGGCTTACTGCTTCCTTGCTCATATCCTTAGGACAGGAAACAGGATGGAGTGCCCAGAGGGCCCTACCCTTGTCTGAGTGCTGAGTAAATGTAGCATGAAGGCGGGTGGTGTTCAGCCCCTCTGCTGCAGTGGCTGCTGACATGGCTTTGGGCGCTGCTTCGCAATGTGATTATTTCTAAAGATGTGACATAAATACTAACATGGGGTCCCTGGAGCCGCAGAGTCGCTACTTGGCAGCTTAATTTGGACATTCAATCAAAACTGTCCATCGGCAGCTTTGCACAGACCAAACAGCCAGGGCCAGAAGCCCCGCAATCTGCTTGGTGAGATCGCTAAGTGATGGGTTTAATTTCCAGAGGCCTGAGACAAAAAGCCTCCCTAGCTCTGAGAAAGGCAGCTTACCTCCCTTCTCTAGAGAAACAGTACATATTTCCTCATTTCTTCAGTGGGCTCCCTGCTTTGATTGAAGAGCCCTATCTACATTAATCACATCACTGAATCATAGAACTCAAAGGATTTTTAAAAACCTGATAGCCACATTCTCACACCATGTTCCCTAGGCAGTCAGAGGAAAAGGCTGTCATTTGAAGATAAGTTTTCTGTTTCTTCTACAGTCATTCAGGGATGATGAGGGAAAAAAGCATCAGCTGGAAGGCGTCTCAACAGAGGGATGTCTCCTCTGCATGCACTGTCAAACTTCTTCAGTGGCAGAGGAGCTCTCAAAGAGGGAGAACATTCTGCTGGACTCATTTATCCTAAATGGATGGATGGGTTGATGGAAAGGATAAATGGATGGGTAGATGGCTGGATTATACGGATGGATGAATGGATGGGCTGGGTAGGTGGATAGATTGATGGACAGGCTGGGTGGAGAGGTGGAAGAATAGATTGAGTAGATGGATGATTAAAACAATGGGTTTTAACCAACCTGAAGGAAAATGGCATTCTTTAAACTTTAATTTTATTATAATTTTACCAAACTATATCTCAAGGCCTCTGTAGCACCTACTGAATCCTCCCATTTCCCCCCATTCTTCACTACTGTACACACACACATTAAAATAATCCCAAATGTCACAGCCCAGGGATCAGCTAACCAGTACTAATGTCGTCCTCAGGATTGGAACCAGATATGGTTCCACTGGCCGCCCTGATATGCCCAGGTGTTAACTTTAGTTGCTAGGCTATGGAGAGGTCCCAGGTGGATCCCAGGTGAGTGGCTGAGGCAGTGAGGAGAGCTACCTCAGGAGAGTCACAGCTGTCTTCTGGCAGATACAGAATACTGCTGCAAGGTTCTAGAAGGTCTAACTGCACTCAGACACTGATGCGAATGTGCAACTATCTTTAAAAGGGGTGCACAGCCAAGATGGGGAGAGTTTGAGCACAGCCCCCACCCTATATTCCAAACCCAGTTAGATTATATTCTAATCTCAGTTTGCTTTGTATTCCAAACTCAGTTCAAATGGAGATGAACACTCCAGGGACCCCGCCCATCAGCAGATGTTGTACTCCAGCTCACTGAGAACAAGTCCCACGATGTTTCTTTCTGCAGCTCAAACAATGGAGTTAAAGGCACAGTGGTGAAGGGTATTATGTCGATTTACGTGCTGCTTTCTCCCACTTCGCACTTCACTGAATTCTGTCACTTGTACCCTGAGGCCCTTCCCCCCAGACCATACAGCTAGACATGAGTCATCCTGCCTTAGGGAGAAAGTTGTTAAGGTAAGGCTGAGAAACCAAAGGCAGCAAATTATTTACTTTTCAGTTCTGAAAGCTTCTGCCTCTACCTTCCTCTCCAGCAGATCTCAAAAGCAGAGCTCCAAGCTCTGGGATGATAGGAAGCGTAGACAGAGAAGTAGATAAGCCCTCCTGTGCTCTGATTTGTTCCTCTGCTCTCTATAGCCAGTTAGCCCCACCTGCTACTTTTTCATCCAGACAAGCCAAAACTCCTATGCCTATCCTCTCACAAAACAGATCCCTAGAAGTGTCTCCGTCATACCAATCACAGAAAGAGGCCCGGTCACAATCTCAAATGAGCTATGCTGGGTATATAAACACAACGTTCAGCACGCTCTTAACAAACCCCTTTCCAGACCGAGGAATGCTATTGCGGAGTGGTTCCCAAAGTCTCGTTCAGAACAGCAGCAGCAGCATCACCTTCACCTGGGAACTTGCTAGAAATACAGATTCTCAGGCCCCACCCAACTTTCTAAATCAAAGATGGAGCCCAGCAACCTGTTTTTTGTTTTTTTCTTTTTTTGGAGAGGTTTTATTCGCTAAAGGGCGCGTGCGTTCG